TACAGGAGCTATGAGTTTGTAGTAAAGGTTGTTTCTTGACTTTCTTGACTTTAACTGATCTCATCTGTGATTGGTAGTGGTATCACATATTTTGAAATTCTGGATTATTTGTCTCTTAGCTTTACTGAAAATGCAGCTTTCAAAGTCTTTTTCAACTTTCTATTGCTTTCATGTGCTTTCCAGGGAAAGAAGAGGGGAAAACACTGACTTATGCAGCTGTGTTTATAGCAGAAGTCTTATTGTTGTTTTAGCTTGCATTTCCTTGATCAACAGTGATGATAATCTTATTTTCACATGTTTACTTGGCAATCTTTATTATATATTTTCATCATTAATCAACATTCTATTAGTTTGCCTGTCTTTTTCTTATTGATTTGTAGAAGCTCTCTGTATATTAGAGATATTAGATTTACCTTTCTGTTACTTGTCCTTTAAAATTGAAAAGGACTTCAGTGATCCTTACATTTATAGAATTTGTTATTTTAAAAGTTTAAAATTTTTCTGTAGTCAAATTTACCAATTATTTCCATTATGACAATATTTTGAGTCTGACTTAAGAAGACCTAAGAAAACAGGGGTTTAGAACTGTAGGAGCTGAAGGGTAATACATACTCTTGATGACACCCAAAAGGGTGGGGAGAAAAGAGTCAATATTTCTGTAAAATATAAAGGCAGTATTTTATGGAATAAAATATTAGAAAATTAAAATTATCAAGAAAGGGAAGCTTTTAAAAAATTAAATAACATTTACATTAAAGATCATCTATGTAGGATCTAGGATAAAATGTTGGCTCTATATTTGCTGCAACACTATTAAATGACTATCTTTTCCCACACTGATTTGAAATGCTTTACTTATCAAATATAATTTTCCATGTAACTATTATCTGGATTGTCTGCTGATGTACTTACCTATTCCTACACCAATAACACAATGTTTTACATATTATAGCACTAAAGTATCACAGTTCTATCATACACTGACCATGAGACCTCAGTAAACTCCTCTAAACCTCAGTTTCTACTTTGCAGTGTTTGTTTGAGAATTAAGTACATAAAGGATATAAGTAAATAAATTTTGTGGCCCCATGCCTCACACAAGATAAGCATTCACGAATGATTGTTATTAATACCACAATAAAGCATGATGAAATTAGACTATAGGCAAAAATTAATGATAATAATATTACTAGGTATTTTTAACATCTTTATTGGAGTATAATTGCTTACAATGGTGTGTTAGTTTCTGCTTTATAATTACTAGGTATTTTAAAAATATAACAAATCCTACTTCTCCTTTATATTTCCCTATGTGTTCAAGTTCCAAGGGACCTTCTCCCTGTGGGGAGATCATGCAGATTCTGGTAGATGTCCCATCTCCTAGCCTAATAATATAGAGTGGAAGGAACAAAGAGTAGTTGACAGGTTGCTTAGGAAAGGTCCACTGGGTCAGTAACCAAGGGGAGAAATGGCACTTCCCTTATATTTCCAAAGGTAGGAGCTTCACAGTTGCTTAACAACATGTAAATGCATAAGAAAGAAGGAAGGTAAAGGTATCACAAAATCAGGCAAATTTTACTCTCTCATCCATTTATTATTCCTACATTGTGCATAACTCAAGAGAAACAGAATATATGTTTGACCTCCAAAAATAAGCTGGCCAGTGAATGGCATACAGCTCAAATATAACCATAAAAATATAATTGGTAGTAGTGGGTAGCCCAGATTATATATATACAGACAAAAGTACATGTGCTTACAGCTGGATTCCAGAGGCAAGAGAACCATTCTGTTCAATGTAGCAAGTATTTATAAGTGCTTCAGGGGACACATGGAAGACTATGAGGCAGCCCACACTTTCCAGAGCTTTAAAATCTACTAAGGAGAATAAAATGAGTATACAGATCATACCACCACAAGGCAGAATTCATGTCACAACTGAGCAACACCCCACTTGTATGTCCTCTGAAGTGAGACATCAAAGCTTGAGGTGTGGGGGCATCCAGAAAAGCTTCCCTGAAGAGAAGCCATTTGAATTAACCTTTAAAATTAAACAGGAGGGCTTCCCTGGTGGCACAGTGGTTGAGAGTCCGCCTGCCGATGCAGGAGACACGGGTTCGTGCCCCGGTCCGGGAAGATCCCACATGCCGCGGAGCGGCTGGGCCCGTGAGCCATGGCCGCTGAGCCTGCGCGTCCGGAGCCTGCGCTCCGCAACAGGAGAGGCCACAACAGTGAGAGGCCCGCGTACCACAAAAAAAAAAATTAAACAGGAAAAAAAATTAAACAGGATTTTGATAGGTAGATGTGGGATAAGAGAACACATTTCAGCACGTCATGGAGGAAGTTCCAGGCATGTCCAGAACAATGATAACCCAAATTTTGCTGCAAAATAGGGTTGGTTCTACTAGAATGGAAGCAGTGAAAGATAAAACTATTTCCACATTGTGGAGGTCCATAAATGCCAATTTAGGGACATGTGCTTTAATTGATAGGCACTGAGCAGTGATAAGGGTGTGGGTGAAATTGTCAAGAGATCAATCTGGTAATGGTACTTTTGATTGGGGGTCGGGGGAGTGTGGGAGAGAAGACACTGTAATGAAGCAAGTGGTGAAAAAGAAATATAAGCAGTCTAGGTGGGAGAAGAGGACAGTCTAATCTAAGGTAGGAGCTACAGGAACAGGAAGAAAGGAACAGATAATAGAGACACTACAAGGGCACCAACTGAAGACAAGCTGCTGATTAGATAGAAGGGTTCAGTGGAGAGCGAGGAGTGAAAACTAACTCAGAGTTGGTAAGTCTGATTTATTAGATATCAATAATAGAAAAAAATAGATTCAACTGGGCGGTGGAGGGAAAGAAAGAGGAGGAAGAAAAAAAGGACAGCTGTTACAAACTTGCTAAGTTTGAAGTGCTCATGGTACTATCAGATAGAAATGCTCAGCAAGCAGGAAAAAATACAGGCTTACAGTTTTGAGGAAGGTCAAGGCTTTGGTGATTATTCACATGAAGGTCATAATTGAAACTACGTGAGTAGATGTAAACACGAAGGAAAAAGGAGAAGATTCACGTCAAGGAAGGAAGAGGGCTGGCGAAGGAAAACACCGAGTCAAGATGATGAACAGACAGTGAGGAAGCCACGAAAGGAGCCGCAGAGCAGGGAACAGAACTTAGTGCAGCATCTCAGAGGCCAAGAGAAGGACTTTTAGGAAGACATGTGGGTAAGCACTTACTGGTGATGTTTATTTTCCTGCTTTAAAATCTTCTACCAAAATCAGGTATTACTTTTCGTAAAATATTTTAATCCATTTTTTTAAGAAATCATTTTCTATTAAGAGAGGCAAATACTACAGAGACACATGAAAATGGGGGCTGAGGATAATACCACATTTAGGGATCAGGAACACATGTGCGTCCTTCAGAAACACATTTCAACAGAAAAGGCAGCAGGAGGTTGTAGGTGCCCACGGGGAGACGCTCAGCAAGTCACTAATCAGTAGGATGATAACTTGAGGGAGTGAAAGAGTGGAGGGGATTTTTTTTTGTGGGGGAAGGTAAGAGGCACACTGAAGAAGGGAAGGACAGTAAAGAGGAAAAGGTTGAGGACTGGTGTAGAAGTGGGAATTCTTGACTCAGCAAGGGATAGAAAAGAGGCAGGAGAGCACGGGGCTAGGATAGCATGAATGTTAGCCCTGAAAAGCCAAAAGCAGGGACCTGTCTTCTAATACAGAGGGAAAGGGGAGGAAAAAGAGGAAATGAGGCTGAGAGATTTCAAAGCAATTACAGGGACATTGAGGGATCTCAGTTTGAATGATTCAAGAGGTCACTGAGCTTAAGGAAAGTTTGAGAAAATCTGTGAAAGGCAGAAAAGCAGTCTACATGCTTCACCAAACCAAGACGGGAGCCTTCTTCTTAAATCTTATGCATCAGAAACAGATGAACCTCTCCATGTCAAAAATTTTAGTAGGTCCTAATAGTAAAATAAAAGAAGTCACATCTGGGTTCATGGACCTTAACATTTATAGAACAGACTGACTGACTGAGCTACTGTAGAGGACATAAACCATATATAAATCATAAACCCCTAGAATTCAGGGGGATCTCAAAAGGTCATCTGTGAATATACAAATCCCAGGTAACACACACAGCTGCACACATGCACAAATCACACCGTGCTCTGTAAAGAGAGTTCAGACACCAGGAACTCTTGCATGAAAGGAAAGAGAGCTTCACTGCACTAGATGGCTAGAAATCAGTTAAGGATGAAAAAGGAAATATGGTTTTACAGGATGAAGCCAAAGGAAAACTGAGTTTCCAAAAATCTTCTCCAGTCTGATTCAACAGATAAAAAGTGAATCGTGGGCTTCCCTGTGGTGCAGTGGTTAAGAATTCACCTGCCAGTGCAGGGGACACGGGTTCAAGCCCTGGTCCGGGAAGATCCCACAGGCCACGGAGCAACTAAGCCCATGCGCCACAACTACTGAGCCTGCGCTCAAGAGCCCGTGCTCCAAAACAAGAGGAACCACTGCAATGAGAAGCCCGTGCGCTGCAATGAAGAGTAGCCCCTGCTCGCCGCAACTAGAGAAAGCCCGCATGCAGCAACAAAGACCCAACACAGGCAAAAATAAATAAAAATAAAATTAATTAATTAAAAAAAAAAAAGTGAATCATGTGTCCGGATCCTTGCATCCAGTTTCCAGAGGGATAATTTTAAACACCGAGTTTAGTCACAGGGAAATAAAAGTTTCCTGCTTCTTTGGCCACATCAAGTCCCACAGGGAACATTTACTATATCAGCTACACCCTTGCTGAGTGGAAATCAGTGACACTAGACCACTAGTTCAGTACATTCCATCTCACCTTGAAATCCTATGTCACTGAAATCGTGAAATGCATCAAAGAGGGAAAGAGCATTAAATGTGGCAAAGAGATTTAAAGAAGCAATGTCCCATTCTACCCAGGCCTTCTGCAGTAGAATCTCTGGGGCTCTTCATCAAAGCAGCTCAAGGTGCCCCATGCCCTGAGGAGCAGCCCCTCTCTAGCGCAGCTCTCAGCGTGCGGTTACTCAAGAAAAGAACAACGGGGTAGACTGCTGCGCACAGGTGAGTCCCAGCCTGCCGCACCCAGTGCCTGAGTCCCCACGGTGGAAACGTACCTGAGGCACTGGGCACCAGTGACAGGAAACAGGAAACAGGACAGCAAAGGAGATGAGCGCCAGGAGAGCCTTGATGTGTGCCTGGGTGCTGGGATCATGAGAGCCTGAGATGGACAGGGAGACCTTCTTGGTGTGCCTTCCCAGAGGGGTAATGAGCGAAGCCGTGCCAGCGATGAAGACAACAGTAGGGACTGTCCAGGTAACAATTTTCAAAGGGAAGAAGCAGAGTCTCTCATATGTTCTCACAGCATTCCCAGTGACATTCCAAGGTTGCAGAGCCCTCTTTAAATAGTTCTGATATATTCTCTGGTTGCCTATGAAAACTAGAATGGTGCTAAAGCTGGAGAACCCCACAGAGCTGAGCAGCGTCCATGGAACCAATGCAGACACCATCTGCTTTAGCCAGAGGAAGACAGGGTGGGTGAAGGTTGCGATTTTCACACAGTAGAAGACACTGAGCCAGGTGGAGAACCATAACGTGACAGCATTCAAGAAGTCCCACTGAAAGGCTAGGAACTGGAATACAGGGTTGTATGGGAAGGCTATTGGATTCAGGAAAATATAAATGTTCTTATCACCACCCATCACAGATAGAAGCTAGAGGCTCCCAGGCTGACCAATAACTTATTGCAGGGTGACAAAGTTCTCTGCAGCAACCACTCCATGCCCAGTGCCACGGTGATTAAGCCATTACCCACCACTGCCACCAAGCACAAAAGGAATAAAATGATAGCAAAGATAAAGGCTATCTTATCAGCCAACTGAGGTCCTGGAACCATGTCCTCTCCACTCATCTCTCCTGCAGACAAGATGGGTCCCAAGACTTCAAAGTCTATTCCTGTAGGGTGGCTCTGGAAGGTCCTGTATGATGCTGGTCTCTCCAGCTTCCCTACATACAGAGGATAAAGTAGAGGATGTGGGCTATCTGAGGAGGGTGAAGCGGTTTCTTCTTCTCTGAATAGATGCAAATATCATTAAGGCTCAGTTCCAAAAGTCCCCCTGCCTGCCCATGAATTTGCCTGTCCTTCCTCTGCCTACTGTCTGCCTATATCAACATTGCTATGGATATTATATCAGGCCCTTGCATTTAGCATCCCTTACATGGGAGCTTATACCTCTCTAAGCTGACACCTAAGATATGACCACACACCTACTGGCTGCTCTGTGAGGAAATCCAGTGAGCACACCTGCTACTAACAGTCAGAGCTCACATCCTTGGTTGGTTGGTATGTTCTGGGCATTGTCCTAAGTGATCTTCATTGTCTTTAGTTCTCACAATGACCCTATGAAGCAAGTGCCTTTAGAAAACCCCTCTGACAGGCAGAAAAGTCAACAAAACCTCTACTGACAGAGGTTAATTCAAATACTATTACTTGTGCTGACTGTTATCATCAAATAGAACACAGCAGACAATTATACATAATCAAGCAAGTGAATTTTTTAACCATATTTTATTAGTGACCTTTAAAGGGCATTTCATATAGGAAAGCCTACTATGATAGCTATAGCACTAGTGGGCTATGGCAGGAAGAACTCTGGGCTAGGAATCAAGGCAAGTGTTAGTCCTAGTTCCACCATCACTGTGAGTTACTGGGTATGTCAGTAGGCCCCTCTGTGCCTCAGTTTCTCCATCTGTAAGATGTGAAAAGTATCATCCGTTCTAATTCACAGGATAAGACTAGATTCTAGGACTAGAATCTCAGTTTTCAGAGTGAAAGAAGACATTAAATGGACTGACATATATACACTAGTATGTATAAAATAGATAACCAATATATAGAATCTGCTGTATAGCACATGGAAGTCCACTTCGCTGTACAGTAGAAACTAGTACAACATTGTAAAACAACTATACCCCAATAAAAAATAATTTTTTTAAACATTAGAAACATCAAAAAAGATATTAAATAATTTTATAGATGAATAAATGAAGCCTCAAGTTATAGATTAAGACTCCCACCTAAAGTCACAGTTTGGAGAAAAGACCAAGACCCAAACTGATTCCAAGACCAGAAATCTCTGCATAGTTAGCAGCACATCTTGTATCCTATCTTCTTCATCCACAGCTGAAGGCAGAAGACCAGGCTTTGAGTTTTGTCACAGTCACTATCTATGGATCTTTGGACTAGTCGTTTAACCTCTCTGAACGCCACTTTCTTCATCTATAAAATATGGATCACAAATATATGTGAATATATATACACACACATATATGGATGTATATGTGGAAACTAGAAATCTCTACACATGTATAAGAAATAAGTAAGGTGGTGATGACAAGTGTTATTATAATGATATCCACCCTGTGGAGGGACAAGTGGTCCAAGGAAAATTCAGGAGAGCATCAGGGATGCAACAGAGGTCCAAGGCACCAAATACTGGATATCTACTTTAATTAGAGGAAGGTGGAGTAAGCAAAGGCCACATTTTCAATAGGAATGAGGCTCAAAGAATCAAAAAAAACAAAAAAAGCAATCAGGTGAGCGCTTACTTACTCAGGTGCGTGTGAGCAGGTTAGTGTGTCACAGAGAGTAAGGCAAGCAGAAAGGGTTCTGGGTCAGCTATGGCAATAGTGAAGGCTCAGGATCAAGTAACATGAGAGTGAGGGAGTATCTTACAGAACACTCATCTTCTGACCAGCACCATAGCCTACTATTTCCATGCACAGAACTCCACAAAGACAGAATAGAATCCAGAACTCTCAGTATCTCTTTCTAGTTCCCAGTCCACCTGAGACAAAGGTCCAGTAGAACTGTCCTTCCAACACAGAAGCCCTGCTGTGGTGAACATGGTGATCTTGGCGAAAGGAGAGGTGAACTGAGGCGACGAATTCACTCTGCCTTTCTCAGAAGATGCAAATCTCCAGGGGATAAGTTCCCAGCTGCTCTCTACCCTGCCCTTGTTCCTCTGGCTGACATTTGGCTGTTTGCTCCTGGAACACGGAGCAATAAAGCAAACTTTGAGCTCGTAGCTCTGGCGTCTGGCCAGCCACAAAGTTCTCAATATGGAAAATTTATATCTTTTCCCTTCTACTTCCTACATATTTGATGGCTCATATAATGGGAAAAATATGCTGTTAACCCTCAATTTGACCAACAACAATTAATAAGCATCTCCTGTATATCATAATGACCCTGTGAGAGGCGCTGGGGCTGTAACAGTGAACCGGGCATCTGCCCTCGCAGCGCTTTCATGCACTAATCATAAACCACAAACATTTACTGGACATACACTGTGTGCAGATTAAGTTAATGCACAAGTGCGAACAACCATTTGCATTTTAATAGGGAATATGCTTCATGGTGATTCTTTTGTTGTTTGTGCTTTTTGTTTGTTACATTTTGTTTCTCAGACTTTATTTGGTGGAAGCCAAGTCTGAGAATTTTGAAATTTTCACAGGTAGTCTTTGTATGTATGATCATGAGGGTGGTAGAGGTAGGAATCCTGAGTACGTTGTCTGTGTGGGAAACACTTAGCTCAGTTCTATCTCTCAGAGGATAAAAAAGGAGCACTCCCAGGCTGTGGTTCTAAATGTATGTGTCATCCTATTTCCATACCAAGAATTCTGAGAAGAATTCAGTAACATCAGCAGCCCCTTCATTGTGGGACAGCAAAGGTGCTGTCTTGTATGTTGAAAGGACAGAGAGATGACACCAGTAAAGGAGATGGAAGTTTGATCATGTCCAGGAAATAGATAAGTTTGACTACAGCAGAGGATTTCCATAAGGGAATGGTGGCATATCAGGCTGAAAAGGCAGGCTGGGGAGAGATCCCAGAAGGCTTTGAAAGTCAGGATGAGATATTAGGCTGTGTCTTTGGTCAAGATGGGGCCACCAAATGTTTATGGACTCTAATGAGTTAGAGCCTAGGAAAGGGAGGTTGAGAACATCAACCAATTAAAAACTCCTGAGATAAGCCCACTAGTCCTGGCGTAAATCAAAAGGCTGTGAAAATGTTGCAGAACATGAGGTGATTCCCCTCCCACCCAAGACATTCAGTAAAGTTCTGCAGCTCTGTCCAAGGGAAAGCCAGTCTTCCAGGTGACATCCCTGATGCTCCTGCCTTTGCTGCCTCCACCCATCCCTCTTGTGGCTTAAGCCCCAAAATTCAGTCCCCGCAATTTATTATTGCCCTCCCAGCTCACTCATATTGCTGCCAAAAAAAAAAAAAGGAAAAAAGAAAAAATTTCTTTATGATACTCCCAGCTTTCCACAGTTTCCTCTATCCAGCTTCACCCTCTCTCTACTCTTTGGGAAATCCCTTGTGCTCCTCTCCTACAATTTGGGAATCTCCTCTTTTAAAGCCCTAATCTTCTTCTTCCAAGTGAAAACTCCTCACCCTGTTACCTCATCTCTGTTCCTCTTTCTTGCTCTTCTTGCCGTAGCTCAGCCTCCAGCTAGCATTACAACAGAATGTTTTGGGGTCTCAGCTCCCAAGACTGTTGGACAACTTATCATAAATGCAGTTATTTACTTGAAAATCCTTTGTAAACTCTATTCTGTTCTGTTGTTTATTACTCCTATCTTGATTAGCTCAGACATATAAATCTGTTAACCATGTATGGTGTTTTTCCCAATCTCTTCTGGTCTCTCGGTCTCCACATTTTTTTATAGTAAACTCCATCAGTTAAAAAAAAAAATTATGAACATGAATTCCACCATATGCATGTTTATTTAGTTTAATTATATGCTTGTAATACTCTACTAATACATTATGTACATCATAAAACACATATCAGAAATAGGGATTAAAAGGATGAGATAAAAATAAATGGAAATTGTCACGCTTTTCTTTCTACATCCAATGGATCATTTTGCACACACTCCGGGATGCAAACACCCTAATTTAGAGGCTACCATCCTAGACATCGGCATCCAGGGTCCACCTCCTGGATGAGTGGACAGGAAGAGTAAGATTCTCAAAATTTAAAACTATAGCAAATTTCCTTTGTTTTCCTTTTCTATCTTCTGTTGGCCAAAGCATTTCCACATCAGAAAATTCCTTTTAATTCAACATATACCGAACACACAAAACCATGGGCAGGTCCTATAGTGGCACAAAACTCATACATGCCCTCAGACATCAATTGTTCAAAAGAAAAAGCTCCACGGGTGGAACTGGTCTTAAGCAGGGCACAAAAGAAGGGAATGGCAAAAAACAGCAGAGAAATGAAAGAAGGAAGTTCCAGATGGGCCAAAAGACCACAGGCTGCAGGGAAGAGCATGTGGGGAGACAGAAAGAAGCTTTCCTGGGCTGAAGTAGAGAGACTGAGCTCTGAGAGCACAGCAACGTTGAGGAGGGCAATTGATGTGTGTGGGATGGTGTGGGATGGTATGAGACAACCTATGTCACCAATCAAAAAAAACTTTAGGTTGACCACAGAACAACTGACAACCATTACAGGTCTCTGTAAAGGGAATACAGACCAAAATGATGCTTGGAGAATATATTATTAGGGCTGCTTGTGTAGAGAGTGAAAGAGGCCTGTGAGGAAATGAGGCCACCATTCTAGTCCAAGGTGGTTTGGGACCCAGATGAGGGACCAGGACCACTGGAAGGGAGGGTAGAAACAGAGAGGAGTGGAAAAAGAATTAATGGGGTGTAGAAAGAGTGGGGAAGAAAGAAGGAAGTGAACAGAGAGGACAACACCCAAACCTTGTGCATTCTTGCCACCCATGGGCTTGTCCAGTGACAGCAGTTACTGACACTGATGAGACAAACTGCTCCTTGCCCAGGGCTCTCCAAGGCCTTTTCATCAGGGCCTTTCTCAGCCTGCGGCTGCTGTGCACAGAGA